GGCGAGGGCCAGCCGGGCTGCAGGGAGGGGGCGATGGGCGCCCGCCTGCCCTCCGCGCCGGGCAGGCAGCGCGCAGCGGGAGCGGGCAGTGAAGCACCGCTGGAAAAGGGATAAAAAAACCCGAAAACAACAACAACAACGTCCCTCTCGCTGCCTATGAAATGCTGAAAAGGCGTCGCGGGGCCCTCGGGTGGGTGAGCAGATCCTCGTGTGAATTTAGAGACGAGTTTCCCAACTCCCCACGTCATGAAGGGCTCTCCCTTCCCTTGCGCTGCGAAGAACATGTTCTTAACTCTTTATTATTCAGAATAAAAACTTTATTTTTTTTTTCAGAACGTGAGCAGCAAGGAATGCATAACTTTCAAAACAAACCTAGCCTTTTCAGCTTCACACACTTTCCACCTAGCTGGATGTTACAAGCATAAAGTATTCAAACCGTGATCCTTTTTTCCCAGATTTTATTGCGTCATCATTATCGTTACCACTGTTTTTAATAAAAGGAGTTCTAGTTTCCTTTCAAATGATATTTCCTATGCGTGCCAATATGCCATCTAACATATGGCCAGGTAAATACTTCCTGAATATTCAGGGTACAGATTTTATATATATATATATAAATATGAACAAATGGGGATAAATAAAATTTTAAACACTTAGATTATTCAATGTTTGCAAAAAAAAAAAAAATATAAATAAATCTGAATGTTCACCAGCATACACACATTGAAAGACTTACACGTATTAATAATTGTCCAGGGAGCCCCTGTCCAAGCGCTTTTGATGTCTTTCTCGCTATTTAAAAGAAGTGCAATAAAAAAAATTGCTTCCCCGTGGGATCAATCATGTACGAACAAATTCACATTTAAGAATTCCTTTTATAGAAAATTTGTTCATATACCCTGTTTTGATAAAAGTGTAGAAGGTAAAGTATAAAGCCTCTGCCTACTCCCAAAGTGAGACACAAGGCTACAGTTCAAGAAGATAAATATCCACTAGTGAAACTATAGAGCAATTCAAGCAACAAATATTGCTACGTCACATAAACTAGAAAACGCTTTTACCGAAGGAAACAAAACAAACCAAAACGAACAAAAGAAAGGAGAAGGAGGAGGGGCACATGAGGGGTAAGGGGAAAGAGAGAAGGGAAGGGGTGAGTACTTTCCAAAAGTTAGGGGCTTCATGTTCCACTTAGTGACTCCTGTCTCTTACAGATGGGTGAGTTTGGGCGCTTCCTGAATTCTTCCCTGAGAAGGATGGTGAGCGGTAAGGTCTGTGTATGTTGGGTGCGGATCACAAGGTCCATGGTGGTGATTGTTGGCCATTGGCCCAGCCCCGCTGTAGTCCATGTTGGCAGAGGGAGGATGAGGGAGATGAGTTAGACCAAAGATGGAAGGCCCAGAATTGGTCATGGTCTCCACGTAGTTGCCCCCTACATAGACGGGGCTTCCCTGTATGTGTGGATTCCCATAACCGTTGCCTTGAAGAGGATGAGCATCGTATTCAGGTGTCACAGCTGCCGTCCCCGTGTATCTCTTTTGAGGAGGTGGGCAATTATTAAGAGGAGCGGTATATGATGCAGGGATGCCATAAGTGTTTTGATGAGGCTTGTTAAATGGCGGAGGCGACTGGGGCTCGTAGGGGACACTGTTTACTAAAGAATGCATAGAGTTTAGATATCCCCCAGCAGCTGGAGGGACAGGGCTTCTGCTTGGGGACTGTCCTCCTGAAGAGGTCATCATGCCTTTGCCCTTTTGATCCTTTTTGTATTTCATTCTGCGGTTCTGAAACCAGATTTTTATCTGTCTTTCTGTGAGATTGAGCAAATTGGCCATCTCTACCCTTCGTGGCCTGCAAAGGTACCTATTGAAGTGGAACTCCTTTTCCAGTTCTACCAGCTGGGCACTTGTGTAAGCTGTACGGGCTCGTTTAGAAGAGGCTTGCCCCGGAGGGCTTTTATCACCAGCACAACTCTCACCTATGTAAATCACACAAAGAACACAATCAGCATAGTGAACCCAGACATGGCAGGCAACCAGAGACAATGGCCAACAACACCAGCACCTGGACAGTCCAGCTCTCGGATGCAAGATGGATGCCCACCTGTGCAACGAGTACACCCCCGTGGCATAAGCTCAGTTATGCCAAGCTATGAGCCTCAATAGACTTCCTTCACCTCATTAGTGTCACTATATGACTGTGCTTGCTTTCCTTAAGAATTATGGCATAAAACATATTTTGAGCTTGCATAAAGGAGTAAGAAAGGTTCAGGGAAACACAGTGGCATTTAGAAGCTCTGAAGGTGAACCTATGGCTCTGCTAACAGAATGGAATCAAGGTCTTCAAGAAGCAGCTGTTCTCCATTGCTGTAAGACCAGCAACCCACTTTTTCTGAAAACCCTGATATGTGTGCACATCACTAGAGATGCCTTAAAGTTAGGTATCTACAATATAACATTATAACATATAAGCATAGAATTGACAGTATAGTGTTTCTATCATGTCTAGCATGTAGCGTAAACATATGGTAGCGATTGGGCATTATAATATATATAAGAAGAACATAAGGTGGCTAGGCTTGCATACAGGCGTACAGACATATTTAAATGTTACTGTTTTTAATAAAATAAAAACATGTTGTGGAAGGCTGTAAACAGTAATGTTACCAGGACCTTAAAAAGCAGACCAGCAAAGACTTTTGCTAAAGTTTTGGACTCTATTTTCAAGGCACATTTAAGAGAAAAGAGGAAAGAGGTTAATATGAGCCCAACTCCTGAGCATTGGAGCTAGCACTGGTGTTATCGATTTGGGTTTCCTAGAGTAATAAAAACATTAATATACACTTCCATCCCTCAAATAATATTTTATGGGCTGAAGTTTATGGCACTCCAGAATGATTTTTGTTTACCAGGCTTGTAACTTTGCTGATCAGCTTGTTAAAATAGGAAGAGGTTCTGACTGCATGCAGGGCATTGATCCTGCCTGCATGTGATTATGAGCTATTTTATTCCTGTTACACTTCAGCAGACATAGGTCACTGTCTTATTAATCTAACAGCACCATGCCAACAAAGTACTCAGGACAGGCCTCTGGTTTAAGGCCTGGGTTGCTCTACACTGACATGATTTACTGGAGGGGGGATTACCTACCAAATGTGATAGATGCAGGAGGGAATAAGTGAGTTTAACCACTAGGAAACAAAATCACTTTGGATCCATCCTGCAAGGCTGGCAAAGTTTTGCAGGCAGTGGTTTGTTCACTGAGTTCCCTTTGCAAGTGATGGCAACCCCTTTCCAAAAGCTCGAGAGGAAAAAAGCCCCCTCCCTCCCCAAAGTGAAGGTGGGCAGGGCTGCCCTCCTCCACACTGGACACGTAGCCAGCCCAGGGATACCCAGGGAGAGGGGGAAGCATGTTTCATACCTGAACTGGAACTGCTGTTTTTCTGCTTCGTGTTTTGCCGAGACTCTTTCATCCATGGGAATATCTGTTTGGACATGGTGGGCGAGTTAAGAGCCGGGCTTTTGGTGGGGTTGGCTGGGGCAGGGTTGCTGCTGGCATTTTGAGATGGTGAGGAGGAGGACGGAGGTGTAGGTTGTGCCTGCTGGGCTGGAGGTGGCTGCGGTGGGGCCTGTTGGTCAGCGAGGCTTGGGGGCTGGAGAGGCTGGTTGGGGAGGGTCCTCATGCAACTCTCACTGATGTCATTGGGCTTGTGATGGGACACGGAGCTGCCGGGGGACTGGAGGGAGCACGCGGGGCGGTGGTACTCAGTTTCCACAAGTGATGAAGATGGAGGATATTGCTGCTGACTCGCATTATAAGTGAAACCATTTGCTCCTTGGTAGGGGTAGGCACCATAGATTGCAGAGCTGTCGTAGTAGGTCGCTTTTTGCATTTCGTTGTTTCCCAATATTTATTTCGCAAACTGACAGGGTCTTGACACCCTCGGAGAATAACATTGGCACCCCTCTGTCACGTGGCGCTCTTCCTCCAATGGCCTCTCCGGGCAGACCTGGGGTGTGGGGAGAGCAGAGCAGGGTGAAGAAATGGTACAAATCCATCTTACTTTCAATAGCTAAGTGACATGAAAGCCATAAAAGAAAAAGTGGTCAGCAATATTTAGCAGCATGACTTGGCCTCAGGCGCAGAGCATTTCGATATAAAAGCTGCCTGGACTTACTGGCAGCTACAAATATGTGCTTTGCTGCACCGGGATAGGGGCTTTCTAGGGTTTTTTCTTTCTTTCTTCTTAAGAAAGAGAGCAGGGCACCACACGGCAAGGGGGTTGGTCGTTTATCACCGAGAGGCTGTTTTAATACCAGTCTCTGAGATAAGGGTGATCGAGGAATCGGTAATGCAAAGGGGCTGGGCTAGTCCTTCATTCCAGCTCTAAGATCAAACCCTCTTCTGTAACCGGTATCGTTTTATTTTTAGCCTTTCTCTCCAGGTTATGGCTCCCCATACAACTTCAAAGAAATACATGAGATTGTTCCTGTCTACGTGTGGCAGGGGGCAGGAGCGGGGTGGAAAGGTTTCCTAGCCAGGGATATTTACACACCTCGATCCCAAGTGACGGATTTTGGCTTGTCTATGAAATGCTCGATAGGAAAATAAACAAAGCCAAGGCCTTCTCCCCTCCGCGCTCGCACCCCACCCCTAGCCGCC